TACAGTGCCTTGCTAAAGTATTCGGCCCCCTTGAACTTTGTGACCTTTTGCCACATTTCAGGCTTCAAACATAAAGATATAAAACTGTAATTTTTTTGTGAAGAATCAACAAGTGGGACACAATCATGAAGTGGAACGAAATTTATTGGATATTTCAAACTTTTTTAACAAATAAAAAACTGAAAAATTGGGCGTGCAAAATTATTCAGCCCCCTTAAGTTAATACTTTGTAGCGCCACCTTTTGCTGCGATTACAGCTGTAAGTCGCTTGGGGTATGTCTATCAGTTTTGCACATCGAGAGACTGAAATTTTTGCCCATTCCTCCTTGCAAAACAGCTTGAGCTCAGTGAGGTTGGATGGAGAGCGTTTGTGAACAGCAGTTTTCAGTTCTTTCCACAGATTCTCGATTGGATTCAGGTCTGGACTTTGACTTGGCCATTCTAACACCTGGATATGTTTATTTGTGAACCATTCCATTGTAGATTTTGCTTTATGTTTTGGATCATTGTCTTGTTGGAAGACAAATCTCCGTCCCAGTCTCAGGTTTTTTGCAGACTCCATCAGGTTTCCTTCCAGAATGTTCCTGTATTTGGCTCCATCCATCTTCCCATCAATTTTAACCATTTTCCCTGTCCCTGCTGAAGAAAAGCAGGCCCAAACCATGATGCTGCCACCACCATGTTTGACAGTGGGGATGGTGTGTTCAGGGTGATGAGCTGTGTTGCTTTTACGCCAAACATAACGTTTTGCATTGTTGCCAAAAAGTTTGATTTTGGTTTCATCTGACCAGAGCACCTTCTTCCACATGTTTGGTGTGTCTCCCAGGTGGCTTGTGGCAAACTTTAAACGACACTTTTTATGGATATCTTTAAGAAATGGCTTTCTTCTTGCCACTCTTCCATAAAGGCCAGATTTGTGCAGTATACGACTGATTGTTGTCCTATGGACAGAGTCTCCCACCTCAGCTGTAGATCTCTGCAGTTCATCCAGAGTGATCATGGGCCTCTTGGCTGCATCTCTGATCAGTCTTCTCCTTGTATGAGCTGAAAGTTTAGAGGGATGGCCAGGTCTTGGTAGATTTGCAGTGGTCTGATGCTCCTTCCATTTCAATATTATCGCTTGCACAGTGCTCCTTGGGATGTTTAAAGCTTGGGAAATTTTTTGTATCCAAATCCGGCTTTAAACTTCTCCACAACAGTATCTCGGACCTGCCTGGTGTGTTCCTTGTTCTTCATGATGCTCTTTGCACTATAAACGGACCTCTGAGACTATCACAGTGCAGGTGCATTTATACGGAGACTTGATTACACACAGGTGGATTCTATTTATCATCATTAGCCATTTAGGTCAACATTGGATCATTCAGAGATCCTCACTGAACTTCTGGAGAGAGTTTGCTGCACTGAAAGTAAAGGGGCTGAATAATTTTGCACGCCCAATTTTTCAGTTTTTTATTTGTTAAAAAAGTTTGAAATATCCCATAAATTTCGTTCCACTTCATGATTGTGTCCCACTTGTTGTTGATTTTTCACAAAAAATTACAGTTTTATATCTTTATGTTTGAAGCCTGAAATGTGGCAAAAGGTCGCAAAGTTCAAGGGGGCCGAATACTTTTGCAAGGCACTGTACCTAACAATTAGATAAAGACTTGAAGGCTTTACTGGAGTTGGTCAACATTTCTGCTCATGAGTCAACCATACCCAAAATATTGAACAGGTATGTTATCTATTCCAGGAGACCACAGAGGAAGCCATTGCTCTTCAAAAACAACATTGCTACATGCCTGAAGTTTGCCAAAGACCACCTTGACACTCCACAGCACCACTGGGATAATGTCCTGTGGACAGATGAGGTGAAGGTAGAATTGTTTGGGAAGAATACATAGCATTATGTGTGGCGTGAAAAGAGAACCGCATACCAACATGAAAACATCATCTCAACAGTTAAGTACGGTGGAGAGAGCATCATGACTTGGGGCTGCTTTGCTGTCTCTGGACCTGAACCACTTGCCACTGTGGAGGGCAAAATGAATTCCCAAGTATATCCAGGTATCCTACAGAATAATGTCCGGGGGCTGTCCACAAACTGAAACTCAGAACAAGCAGGGTGACAATGTCCCTAAACATTGAAGTAAATCTGGCTTTGGAGACACAAAATCCACCTTTTGGAGTGGTGCAGTCAAAGCCCAGACCTCAACCCAATAGAGATGCTGTGGAATGACCTGAAGAGAGCTGTTCACACTGTGTGTCTTGTTATACCCCAGTTTTTTTATTGGACAGATCTGAAGTATTTATTGGACAGATCTGAATAACGAAGGAGTCCATCTTTCTTCATTTTAGTGCTGATTTATTTTAAACCACAAGCAAAATTACAAAACACAACCCAGGTGGCTCCTTCCTCCAGACATCCACAGGCAGGCTGCTGGAAAAAAGAGCCCCGGAAGCACAAAGCCTAATACATTTAGAAGTTTTGGGCTAACCCCTTACATAGAAAGAATGCAAAACATCATGAGATGGAGTTAGTCCGCAGACTTCATCTCTTATCTACAGCTCCTGCTACATGGAGCCGCTGGCCATAACAAAATGAAGAATTTCAATGTGTGTGTGTGTTGTCACGTGGTGTGTAACTAAAACATTCATACAGACATATTCTAACACAATATTTAATACAAGAAAACAATTGGTGTCATGGTAACTGTAGCTCATGTTAGAAATTAATAAATCAGTCAGATAATTATTAGACTTTAATGTGTTAGACTTTAATATGTGTTATTAATGCAGTTTAGTAAGATTCAAAGTCTGCTCCTGTGTGCTCTGCTTCAAGGTTAGCAGCAAGCCATGACACCGATTGTTTTCTTGTACTAATCTTGTGTAAGAATTATGTCTGAATGAATGTTTAGTTACACATCACGCATACAACATACACACACACGGAATTTTTCATTTTGTTATGTCCAGATGCTCCAAGCATGCGGAGCTCTAGATAAGAGAAGGAGACGTCGGACTGTCTCTTTATACATATATTTATATATATATTTTTGTAAATAAACCAGCACTAAAATCAAGAAAGACGGACTCCTTTTTTACTCAGATGTGTCCAGTAAAATAACTGGGGTATTACACTCACATTTCAACACTTTGTCTCTAACCTTGAAACAAAACAGACTAGAGCAGACTTTGAATCTTACTAAACTGCATTACTAATACATTTAACTCTAATGTGTCATGCTGCTAGGTTCCAGAGTGTAGAGCTTAATGTATAAGATATTTCCCTCCTCCCAGTCCACCTCTACTCAAGTGTCTCCCATTCTCTGTTTAATCTCTTTCAATCTAGTTTTGTTTTCTTTTTCACCTACTTAAGCATTACATTAGCATCAGTGGTAAGTACAAATATGATAAACAATACAATCTACAAGACATTTGATTTAACCCGCTTTTCTTTACACTTGCTCTCTCTTGCCCTCCCTCTCACCTTCAACACCCACTGTGTGTCCCTCTTATAATCATCTTGCAATCGTGTAAAAACAGGAATATTAAATGTTAACTGCACATTCATTCTAGGCTTGCAAAATATGAAATGAATTCATCATGGTGTAGAAGGCTGTCTAGATTCTTACCCATTATCATTTTCTGCCTTTGTGCTGTGAGAATGTGTCACTGAAAATTACCAGTGGCTAATGATAGAGATCAATGTGTGCACTGCAAGTACAGTATATGTACAGCCCAAGAAAATGTAATGGCACTGTTTGCAATTTCCTGGTTTTCTGCATAACTAGGTTATGAAATATGATCTGATCTTCACCAAAGTCACAAATCAACACAAACAATATTTTTAAGCTGATAAAACACAAACAGTCATGATCTTTCATGTCTTTATTACACACACCCATTAAACATACAAAGTGATGGTGGAAAGTTGAAAAAACTTAGAAAAATCAACTGGACTAGGTTTTTAGGTCGAAGACATTTCACCTCTCATCCAAGAGGCTTCATCAGCGCTGCCCGGCTAGCATTGAGTCGGAGATATATATCCCCATCGGTGGTGTTTCAGTCCTTTGATGCCCAACAATGTCCCCTAACGATTGAGACGTAATAGCCCAGTATTGGTGAGAGTCGTTACCTGTCTTTGAATCCTCCCCTGTGGACTGACGCCTATTGTCCTGGTGGGCATGTTTGGGCAGAGATCTCAAAATAGAGTTGTAGATGGATGACAAGCTGTGTCTTAGTTATGGTAGAAAGTGTTTTAATAACTGGTTGAACTACCTTTGGCAGGAGTAACTCAAACAAGCACTTAAAGTGCCTGTGGATTAGATCTGCACAAAGTTCAGGAGGAATTTTGGACCATTCTTCCTACAGAACTGCTTCAGCTCAGCCATATTCTTAGGACTGTTAGACATTAGTAATTATTAGACAATGTGTTGAATTAAGGACAGATGATATGGAGTTCATATCACTTTCACATACCCTTGAAGTTTAAATAATCTGAGCCTTTAAGCCTACTTTGAAGTCATGGAGTGTTAAAGTTGTACATTACAATAATTTACCAGATGATGAAGATGATGAAGATATGGTAAAATCAATGAAGAATACAAAAAGCACTTCGCATTTTGTATTCTTCATTGATTTTACCATACTTAGAGTATGGTGTTGAAAACTGGGGAAACACTTACAAAAGTTCACTTCAACCATTGTACATATTACAAAAAAGAGTGATTAGAATTGTGCACAAGTTTAAATTTTCTGTGTATTACTTGTCTGGTGAAGAAGAGAATTACCTACGTAGAGATACTGCTTGCAACCAATGATGCATGAAATTTTTTGTATAAGATGATGTTATGGGGTAGGACTGGATAAGTCGGACGTCTTCCTACTCCATTAAAAAATGTACTAGGTATAAGCAAACTGATTCTGGATTAGCATTGGTGGGATCTGTGTAATTATGTGTGTGTTGATGTCATTTGTTCTGCATGTTTGAAAGAATAAATCAAATCAAAAAATCAAAATAGTGGAGACTCTGGTTTAGCTTCCATAATATTACACCAAAAACGTGCATGCCTGCTTTTGAAAGCTTATATAGTATTTTTATTTCTGTGATGATATATATAAACATTTCTGCAGACAGAGAAGGGTTACAGAGGCTGGCAGAGAAGTTGACAAGTTGCATATACCCCAGAGGGTTGAAAACAAGCTGATTAATTTGGGAGACAAGTTCAAAACACTGCAGCTGAACGGGACATGTTGGCCTACTTGTCAAGTATGAAGCAGCCACCACAGCATCTCCAAATGCATGTTCATGTGTGTGTGCAGACAGAGAAGCATGTTCCTGCCTTCACACACAGTGCAGATGTTGTTGCAGTAGTAGTATTTCGAAGACCCATAGTATGAAGTAGGAGCCATACTGCTGTTGGAGAAGTTAGAGGGCAGGCCAGTCAACCCCACCTTCTGACCCATTTTCACTCCTCCAATCACCCTCCTCTACATCTCTCCTCATCTGTCATGCACAGTCCCACCACTGCTAATGAGCTTATTCTGAGCCACACATTATGTCTGCAGCTGTACCTTTTGCTTTGCACAATGTAGCTCTACTTCTTTTTCTCAGAAAGAAAGATGGCAATCCGTTCCCTCCATGTCTCTAATTAGATGCCCCTCTATTCACTCTCCTGTCATTCCTCTTTCTTCTCTCTATCCTCTTGTTTCTCTCATCTGCCAGCACTGGAAGCAGGTTGTAAAATAGGCTGCACCATCCAAACAGAGACGAGCCCTGCGGTCATCACGGTTTTGTTACTGAGGCAGAGTCATATTAGCCTCTTTAGTCTGTCTGTGTGTTTGTGTGTGTGTGGCCCTTTGTGTGCGTTTATGTGTATATATGTGCTTTGAGGCTGTGTGTGACATTAGCCTCGCAGTCACAGGTAGAGCTGTAATTGGGCCTGAAAAGCACGGCCTGAGTAAAAATGATAGAAATTAAGCCCGACCCGTCGGGCACCCATCGGATACCCGTCGGGTGCCCGACGGGGTTCGGGCTAAGAATTACACCTCTAGTCACAGGTAATGATCTCATCTCATCTCCCCATTGGTGACTAGGGGCACAAAAGAGAATTACATACACACAGTGAAAGGAAAAGATGGGGAGCAGAGATTGGTATTGTAATGGTACTCTAATGGGCTACCTGACAAGTGCTTTTTCTTAATGCTGTACTCCCCTCCTTGCTCTCTCCTCTAGGTACATTTTCCTTTTTTGAGGAGCAGTGATATGGACACCAGGTGTGGCAACATCCAGGTATGTCAGTTCTGATAGCACATTGTAATATGTCTCATGCTTGTATGTTTGCTTCAAACACACCATCTTCTGAATAACATTGCCCTGTCATCCCATTATAACCCACTATTTGTTCTGCCTGTTCTATCTTTAGTCCAACTGATTCTAAACTAAATTTATGGTCATGTTTGAAATCACACCATTTTTTTGTAGAGAGCAAAATATTGTAGCGTTGGCTGGGTAAAGAAGGGTGTGTTATAGTCACTCACTCGTTGGAGGGTGAGTGAGTGAAGAAATGAACAGACCCAGATGGCTGACTTCAGTGAAAGCAGAATTTATTTTGTGCTGTACAATATATATAAGTGACGTGATAGGGAAACAAACTAAGAATAGTAGGACCGGATGCTGAGCAGCTAACAGATAATAACAGATGACGGATGGATATGATGAGATAGGCTGAGCTACGGACGCTAGGGTTTGGACGGTGGGTGGTAAATGGGATCTGATGACTGTGTACCAACCTGGCTGGTGAAGGCTGGAAGGGTGGAGTGGAGTAATGGTCTGGAGGAGAATTCGTGGAGGATGGTCGAGGAATGAGGCGTAGACAGAGTGAAAGAACAAAACCCAATGGTAACAAGACTAAGAGAAGGAGTGAGAGAATTGCGGTGGTTGTCGACCTGAAAACAAGAGAGTGGAAAGTGAATTGGGTATAAATAAGGTGAAGGATTGAGTGAAAACAGCTGGTGTCAGTTAGGGAAACCAGTGGCAGGTGTGCAAGGTGACACGATCAGGGACCGAAAAACAGGGACCCAGGATGGATACCAGGCAGGAGCCACCGGAAGGAGGGACTCACCGGAACCCCCAGGTTTGTCCGGATGGGCCCCGTAGAAGGGGGTCAAAAGGTCGGCGTCGAGGATAATGGAACGTGGAATCCAGGACTGCTCCTCTGGAACATAACCCTCCCAATCCACAAGGTATTGGTAACCCTGGCCCCTGGGGCGGACATCCAGGACCTGGCGGACGGTGTAGGCCGGACCACCATCCACCTCCAGGGCAGGTGGAGGTGGAGCTGGAGGAGGACAGAGGGGGCTGGAGGACACGGGCTTAATCTCCAACACATGGAAAATGGGGTGAGTACGAAGTGAGTCTGGCAGTGCGATTTTAACAGCAGTGGGATGAATGATGTCCTGGATGGTGAAAGGAACCGGGGATACAACTTGGGGCTGGCCCCCTTGATGGGTATATGTGCAGCCGAGAGCCATACCTGTTGCCCAACCTGGTAAGTAGGAGCATCTTGGCAGTGGCGATGCATTTATATTGTTCCACCATTCGCAGCAGTGCGGCCCTGGTCTCTGCCCAGACCTCGTGACAGCGGGTGATGTGGGCTTGGACAGATGGGACGGCAATGTCAGTTTCGGCAGCTGCTAGAAGAGGGGGTTGATAACCAAGAGAGGCCTGGAAGGGAGAGAGTCTGGTGGCGGTACTAGACATGGTGTTGTGGGCATATTCCACCCAAGGCAACAACAGGCTCCAGTCCTTTGGGGAGGAACTGGTAACACAACGGAGAGCATTTTCCAACTCTTGGTTCAACCGTTCGACCTGGCCATTGGTCTGAGGCTGGTAACCAGAGGATAGACTGGGACGAGCCCCAATGGCAGTGCAGAAAGCAGACTAGACATGCGAGGTGAATTGGGGACCACGGTCTGAAACAATGTTGAGAGAGATGCCGTGGATGCGAAAAATGTGTTGAACCAAGAGCTGGGTGGTCTCAAAAGCAGTGGGGAGTTGAGGCAATGTGACGAAGTGAGCGGCTTTAGAAAAATGGTCGATGATGTTGAGTATGACTGTGTTGCCTTGGAATGGAGGTAGCCCCGTAATGAAACCAAGGGCTATGTGAGACCAGGGCTGGCTAGGTGTTGTCAGTGGCTGAAGGAGGCCTGCAGGTGACTGATGGAGGGGTTTGGACTGTGCGCAGGGAGCACAGGCTGCTACGTACTCCCTGGCATCTTTTTCTAGGGTGGGCCACCAGAAGTAGCGTTTCACGAGAATAATGGTCCTCTGTACCCCCGGATGACATGCAAGCCGAGATGCATGGGCCCAGTCGAGGGTCTGGGCCCTAACAGCTTGGGGGATGAATAATCTATCTGGTGGCCCAGCCCCTGGGTCAGGTTCATGCTGTTGAGCCTCCCGTATGGTGTTTTCTATCTCCCAGGTAACAGAAGTAACCATACAGGAGGCTGGTAGAATGTTTTCTGGAGGGGCATCCGAGGCAGAAGGGTGGAACTGCCAAGAGAGGGCATCTGGTTTTTGGTTGTGGGACCCCGGCTGATAGGCGAGAGTAAACTGGAACCGATCAAAGAACAAGGCCCACATCGCTTGTCTTGGGTTCAGTCTTTTGGCTGACTGGAGGTAGGCCAAGTTCTTATGATCAGACCAGACTAAAAAAGGCTGGTTGGCACCTTCAAGAAGGTGCCACCATTCCTCCAACGCCAACTTTATGGCGAGGAGTTCTCAGTTTCCCACATCATAATTTCGTTCGGCCGGGGTCAACCGCCAGAAAAAGAAGGCACACGGGTGCAAGGCATGGTCTCCCTTGGACCGCTGAGAGAGAACTGCCCCTACCCCAGTGTCAGATAGTCCACCTCGACCATGAACTGTCATGAGGGATCAGGTTGGAGGAGTACGGGGGCTGTGGTGAACTGGTGTTTGAGTTCCTGGAAGGCCTGCTCCGCTGTCCTGGACCATGCAAACTTCACCTCAGTGGAAGTGAGCTGTGTAAGGGGAGCAGCCACCGTGCTGTAGTTTTTAATAAAACGGCAGTAGAAGTTTGCAAAGCCCAGGAAGCATTGCAGGTCCTTCACACAGATGGGAGTGGGCCAATTGGTGACTGCGGTGATTTTGGAAGGGTTGGCGGAGAGTCTTCCCTGTTCGATGAAGAACCTCAGGAAAAAACAGAAGGGGAGTGGAAGATGCACTTCTCCGCTTTAACGTACAGGCAGTTTTCCAGGAGTCAAAGGAGGACTTGATGGACATGTTGGATGTGGTCTGTAAGGGAGGAAGAGTAAATGAGTATGTCATCAAAATAAACAAAAGCAAAACAGCCTAGGAAGTCATGGAGGATGTCATTGTTCAACCCCTGGAAAACTGCCGGGGTATTAGTGAGGCCAGAAGGCATTGCCAGATATTCGAAAGATGATGTTGAATCTGATGTCCTCATGATGGTTGCCAGTGATGGTGAGGTGAAAATGTGGAGTCTGATGAGCGATGTGGGCTAGCAGCCGGCCATCAATGGCCCAAGTCTCTATGACATGGGGTAGTGGCTCAGGGGTAAGGCCCAGCTGCTCTACTACGACAGGATCCATGAGGTTGCCCCGGCTCCAAAATCGATGAGTGCCTGGTGAGAGGTCATCTGGCCAGCTGTTTCTAGGAGCATGGGGAGAGAGCAGCTGGTACCTGGTTTGGTGGAGGTAGAGGATCAGCCTGTCAATGTCCCCACTTTCACTGCCAGGCCCGCTCTTTTGGCCGCACCGGGCAGGCAGTGATGAGATGGTTGGGGGCTCCACAGTATAAGCAGGACCCGGTGCAGATCTGGTGGGCCCGTTTTTCGGGGTCCGAGCGAGCATGTCCTAGTTGCATTGGCTCCTCCGATCCTCTGGGGAAGCCTCTGTGAGTCAACCCCATTGTGAAAGATTCCTGGGCCTCGACTGGTGGTGATGACATGGAACGGGTCCGGATGGTCGACTGCTACACGGCTCTTTCCTTACAGGAAGAACACTGCTGGTTGTCACTCCGGATAACCAAGTTTACTAGGGAGTGGAGGTCAGGGGGCTCATCCTTGTGTTGAGTTTGGCTTTAATATTGTCATTTAGGCCATGCCAGAAAGCAGTGCGGAGTGCCTGGTCCTCCGTAGCCAAAACCCGGAAGTCAATGGCATAATCCATAGCACGGCGTGCCCCCTGATGTATAGTCATAAGCTCCCTAGCAGCTTGGCTCCGATGAGCGGGTGGTGTGAATACTGACCATAGGTCATCCAAGAATTCCCCGATGGTGGCACCGAAACAGTCTACGAGTGTCCACAGCTTCAGCCCAGGTGAGAGCCTTCCCTCGTAGACGATTGATGATGTAGTTAATTTTTACTCTGTCAGAGCAGAAAGTCCGGGGCTGCTGATCAAACACCCGCCGGCACTGCAGCAAAAATCCCCGGCATTTATTAATGCTGCCATCAAATGTGTCTGGCTTGGGAATCTGAGGATCCTGGCGGGGGCTGGAAGAACGGGCAGCAGCACCGGAGAAACATGAAGGATATGCCAGGGGTATAAACTGAGAGGTCTGTGGATCCAAGACAGCAGTAAGTCTGGCTACCTGCTGTGTAAGATTAGTGATAATGTCCTGTTGTTGCTGCAGTGCCTGAGCCATACTTTCCAGCCGCACACCGAGATGGGTGTAAGCTGGACAGCTGCTTGCACTGGAGTCAGCAGGGTCAGACATGGCCAGTTCATTCTGTTATAGTCACTGACCCTACTCGACCTCTAGTAAAGAAATGAACAGACCCAGATGGCTGACTTCAGTGAAAGCAGAATTTATTTTGTGCTGTACAATATATATAAGTGATGTGATAAGGAAACAAACTAAGAATAGTAGGACCGGGTGCTGATCAGCTAGCAGAGAATAACAGATGACGAATGGATATGATGAGATAGGCTGAGCTACGGACGCTAGGGTCACTCCCGGTCTGGCTGGTGGGTGGTAGATGGGATCTGATGACTGTGTACCAACCTGGCTGGTGGAGGCTGGAAGGATGGAGTAGAGTAATGGTCCGGAGGAGAATGGTTCGTGGAGGATGGTCGAGGAACGAGGCAGGGTAGACAGAAAGAACAAAACCCAATGGTAACAAGACTAAGAGAAGGAGTGAGAGAATTGCACTGGTTATCGGCCTGAAAACACGATGAACTGGCAAGGGAGTGGAAAGTGAACTGGGTATAAATAAGGTGAA